TAGGGCTTGGTAATCATTATACCACATGATATTTTGAAATTTGTGAATAGCAAAACAAATTTAAACCATCTGTTTTCCATTTCTTTCAGATAATGGTTTTGTATACGAGGAGAACTTGGAACTTAATGGGGAATGATCACTATAGACTTATATATGTGTGTATGAGACATGCTCACAAACCAAGCACACACACTTTATTTTTGCAGGTCATTTTTTTTTATACTTAATACTACTTTTTGATAACTCCTGCAGTAAGACTACCATGTAACTTCCTTCTCCTAGAGTTCCCATTTCATCTTATACTATGGAAATGTCTTTGTGATCCGTTTTTATTTTTCTTGCAGCTTTTTACATGTTTATTTGTCTTTGTTGCATTATTTGGTAAATTTATGTTTTACTATATTGATTCTCAGTCACCACATTCACCAAGTCCCATACCTGACAGTTGAACATAATTTTCTTAAACTGGGTGACTTTTCCTTTTTGTTGTTCCTTGGGATTGGTTTTGCCAAGGGGAAAAAAATAAGGCTGAGGATTTGTGGTGTGAAGGGGTTTATATTCTACTTGTATTAGAGCACCAAAGTCAACACATTACAAAATTATGATATAATTATTGTAGAAATTAATATAAAAAGGTTTTTTTTGTTCATAAAAAACAAATTACCTTACTGGAAGAATGAATAGGGAGTTATAAGAAAATTGTGCCACTTTTTGGCTCAATAATACATGCCTATACATTGCTTGAATGTCTTTTGTTAATCATTATATTTTATAAACATGAAACAGTGGATGACATACTTCCAGCACTTCCTTATAGATGGTGCAAGTAACAGGAAATGTAAGATCAATTATGAGCCTCTTCAGGGCCACTAGGTGCTTCTGTGATTTTATTTTTGAGGGTTGTCCAAAAAAGTCATGAATCAACTCCTTATATTGATTTGCCTTCTTTTTCTTTCTTTTCTCTCTCTCTCTTTTTTTTTTTTTTTTTTTTTTTTTTTTGGGGGGGGGGGGTATGTAAGCCTTTCTAGATATACATGCCATAAAAGGAAGTTTGGACCACATGCTATGGTACAATGCATTTGATGAGTTACAAGGAAGATTTTGGACTTGGTTGTATCTGATACATCAGCAGAGTTGTTGTTTCTAAAGTGAGGAAGGTTTAGAGCCTTCAGTCATCAGCTGATCCATTTTATATCAATCCACAAAAGATGAGGAAAAGCAGACTGTATACCAAAAACTATACATCATGCATATAAAGCTTGTTTGTTTTATGGATTGTGCACTCAGTACTGCTTAGCGCTATTTAAATTATGCAACAAAAATAATTCCTCTTTTGCAGAATTACTTACAGTTTGGCTGATGTTTAGCAAAGTTGTGTATGTAGAGGAATTTGTTATATTTTGAGGGGATCGTATGTTCATTCAGATTTTAAAGGCTGAAACACTTTACCTTTATTTAGTAGGTCTTGTTATGTGTTTTTGTCTTTCCACTCAGAAAAGAATGAAGTAGTAACAACAGATATAGAGTAGAATTAAAGCAGTACGGATCTTGTTTAACATGCATTAAAATTTACAGCCCATGGCGAATCATGGACGATTGTGGTGGAGCCTTCACAATGGGTGTGATTGGTGGAGGACTGTTTCAGGCCATCAAGGGCTTTAGAAATGCACCAAGTGTAAGTATGTTTTTTTTTATGGTTTCTCTAGCAGAACCTGCAATTTAGTATTTAGCTGTGGAAAAAATAAAATTTCATATTCCTTATTTTTGTGACCTTCATTGTGGCAGAGGCAGAGAAACATTCTCCAGAGATGGCCATGTTAGAAATAAAAATTCATTTCAAAAGCAATTTACTGCACGTTATGGCAGTGATAAAAATGTGAATTTTATAACTTTGACTAAAACAAACAAATTGTCTATTAGCCCATTTGCGCTGGGTAAAAATGAACAAAAAATGGGGAAAATGCTGTGCTCATTTTTTATTTTTTTTTTATGAAATATCTCTACACTAGATGGCTCTGCCTCACCTGATTTCACCTTTACTTGAATGTGCGGGGAAATGTATTTTTACTAGTGCTATGAATATCGATGGTTATTTTTATTATAAACATTATAATTACTATAATGGCATAAACATTAGTAACAGCAAAATAAGATAACATAAGATATTTTCGTAAATTAAAGAAAAGGGTAAACAGGCGAGACAGGCAGTACAAGTACAAGTGTAGCCATCTATATGTAAAAGCAATTAAACAAGTAAACTCACAGTGGGCCCGTCACGTATGTTGTTGTTGTTGTTGTTGTTGTTGTTGTTGTTGTTGTTGTTGTTGTTGTTGTTGTTGTTGTTGTTGTTGTTGTTGTTGTTGTTGTTGTTGTTGTTGTTGTTGTTGTTGTTGTTGTTGTTGTTGTTGTTGTTGTTGTTGTTGTTGTTGTTGTTGTTGTTGTTGTTGTTGTTGTTGTTGTTGTTGTTGTTGTTGTTGTTGTTGTTGTTGTTGTTGTTGTTGTTGTTGTTGTTGTTGTTGTTGTTGTTGTTGTTGTTGTTGTTGTTGTTGTTGTTGTTGTTGTTGTTGTTGTTGTTGTTGTTGTTGTTGTTGTTGTTGTTGTTGTTGTTGTTGTTGTTGTTGTTGTTGTTGTTGTTGTTGTTGTTGTTGTTGTTGTTGTTGTTGTTGTTGTTGTTGTTGTTGTTGTTGTTGTTGTTGTTGTTGTTGTTGTTGTTGTTGTTGTTGTTGTTGTTGTTGTTGTTGTTGTTGTTGTTGTTGTTGTTGTTGTTGTTGTTGTTGTTGTTGTTGTTGTTGTTGTTGTTGTTGTTGTTGTTGTTGTTGTTGTTGTTGTTGTTGTTGTTGTTGTTGTTGTTGTTGTTGTTGTTGTTGTTGTTGTTGTTGTTGTTGTTGTTGTTGTTGTTGTTGTTGTTGTTGTTGTTGTTGTTGTTGTTGTTGTTGTTGTTGTTGTTGTTGTTGTTGTTGTTGTTGTTGTTGTTGTTGTTGTTGTTGTTGTTGTTGTTGTTGTTGTTGTTGTTGTTGTTGTTGTTGTTGTTGTTGTTGTTGTTGTTGTTGTTGTTGTTGTTGTTGTTGTTGTTGTTGTTGTTGTTGTTGTTGTTGTTGTTGTTGTTGTTGTTGTTGTTGTTGTTGTTGTTGTTGTTGTTGTTGTTGTTGTTGTTGTTGTTGTTGTTGTTGTTGTTGTTGTTGTTGTTGTTGTTGTTGTTGTTGTTGTTGTTGTTGTTGTTGTTGTTGTTGTTGTTGTTGTTGTTGTTGTTGTTGTTGTTGTTGTTGTTGTTGTTGTTGTTGTTGTTGTTGTTGTTGTTGTTGTTGTTGTTGTTGTTGTTGTTGTTGTTGTTGTTGTTGTTGTTGTTGTTGTTGTTGTTGTTGTTGTTGTTGTTGTTGTTGTTGTTGTTGTTGTTGTTGTTGTTGTTGTTGTTGTTGTTGTTGTTGTTGTTGTTGTTGTTGTTGTTGTTGTTGTTGTTGTTGTTGTTGTTGTTGTTGTTGTTGTTGTTGTTGTTGTTGTTGTTGTTGTTGTTGTTGTTGTTGTTGTTGTTGTTGTTGTTGTTGTTGTTGTTGTTGTTGTTGTTGTTGTTGTTGTTGTTGTTGTTGTTGTTGTTGTTGTTGTTGTTGTTGTTGTTGTTGTTGTTGTTGTTGTTGTTGTTGTTGTTGTTGTTGTTGTTGTTGTTGTTGTTGTTGTTGTTGTTGTTGTTGTTGTTGTTGTTGTTGTTGTTGTTGTTGTTGTTGTTGTTGTTGTTGTTGTTGTTGTTGTTGTTGTTGTTGTTGTTGTTGTTGTTGTTGTTGTTGTTGTTGTTGTTGTTGTTGTTGTTGTTGTTGTTGTTGTTGTTGTTGTTGTTGTTGTTGTTGTTGTTGTTGTTGTTGTTGTTGTTGTTGTTGTTGTTGTTGTTGTTGTTGTTGTTGTTGTTGTTGTTGTTGTTGTTGTTGTTGTTGTTGTTGTTGTTGTTGTTGTTGTTGTTGTTGTTGTTGTTGTTGTTGTTGTTGTTGTTGTTGTTGTTGTTGTTGTTGTTGTTGTTGTTGTTGTTGTTGTTGTTGTTGTTGTTGTTGTTGTTGTTGTTGTTGTTGTTGTTGTTGTTGTTGTTGTTGTTGTTGTTGTTGTTGTTGTTGTTGTTGTTGTTGTTGTTGTTGTTGTTGTTGTTGTTGTTGTTGTTGTTGTTGTTGTTGTTGTTGTTGTTGTTGTTGTTGTTGTTGTTGTTGTTGTTGTTGTTGTTGTTGTTGTTGTTGTTGTTGTTGTTGTTGTTGTTGTTGTACCAAGTTACAAGTGTAGCCATCTATATGTAAAAGCAATTAAACAAGTAAACTCACAGTGGGCCCGTCACGTATACGTGACACCCAGAGTGAATGGGTTAAAAAGGAAACAGCTACAATAAATGAATGAGTTCTTCTTAAGATGAACAAGTAACCAAAATCAGTCCATTTCTTATTAGTTCATCTAGTAAGGAATTCTTGACAAGTTCTATACATTACAATTCATGTTTCATATCATATTGTGGCTGCATCCTTTTTATCTTTGTGCAAATATTACTATGTTAGTCTTCATTATTTGTTAAGGTACATTTCAGGAAGCAGTTGTTTTTTTTCCAAAAGTTGCATTAATTTAATTTATGGTGACAAGTTGTAGTTTAATTAAAACAGTTTCAGATAATTTGTGTTTATTTCTGCTTTGACAAAATAAGGTTTTAATTGTTATATTCCTTATTTTTTAAGCTTGCTCCTTTGTTGCATTACAGGGTTTGAGCAGAAGATTTACAGGCAGTTTGGTAGCTGTGAAACAGAGGGCACCTATTGTGGGTGGTCAGTTTGCTGTGTGGGGAGGGCTCTTCTCAACCATCGATTGCTCCCTGGTGTACATGCGGAAGAAGGAGGACCCCTGGAATTCGATTATCTCCGGTGCTGCCACTGGGGGGATTTTGGCTGCCAGAAGTAAGTGTTTTATGGGAGAATGTCACCTTTCTTATTTCTCTCCTTGTTGAATGTCCTGAAAGTTTTCTGGTTAGTTGCAAAGGGTTTTTGCTTTGAATTGGTGAAATTATACATATTACATTAATATAAATGAGGGTGATTTTGACAGTGTAGAAATGATTAGAGTCAACTCTGTATGAAAGCGAATGTAAACAACTAGACATGTATGAGTACTTCTGTAAGGCAAACCAAGGTGTATATATTACAGGCATATGAGCTATACTGAAGATGTTAGGATTTAGGGGTAGATTAGGGTAGCGTTTTGGAAAGTAGGGTTGGGAACTGGTGGCTAATGGGTCTCATTACAAACAAACAAACAAAAAATATTTATAGATAGAATAAATAATGAATATGAAATGCAAAGTATTAAAATTAATGTATAGATATATAATAAATCAATAATGCTCATTAAAAAAGTAAGTTCATAAAGTAGGTAAAGTTGTTGTTGTTGTTGTTGTTTTTTTGAGGAAGGCATAAATAATTTTAGCTTGTGCACAAAAGGGATTGTAGCACTTGGATGGGTGTTTCACCAACTAGTGATTGTTGTGTCAGATAATTCTTGAACCCCAAGCTGAGGTTAATTCATAGCCTATAGATGATTTGGTCATGGCTCTGGGTGATGTTATTCGCATCATGGCTGACTTGGGTGCGGCTCCAGGTGATGCCATTCACGCCATGTTATAATGATACGTGCATTACATTTTATGCTCTTCTTTATGAGGAACCCACATACCCTGGAGCATTGCTGGAGGGAGAATGGGCTGTGTCATTTTTTATAAAGGGTGAATTTTAGTACATAGTCATTCTCCTGCCATGGGCAGATGTCACAGACCAAAACATGGCACTCTCTTTCTGTTGATGTGAATCTGTAAGTAACCTTCACTCTTGTTTCTTCACGTCAATTACTCGCATTGTCTTTTGCTGCCTTGCCAGTGTGATTGTCTTAAATTATGACACACAAAAGAAAAGTACTGAAGCCATGGTGGCAGCAGCCTTGTATATCACTACATACAATCTCTTGTTTTGTAAAAATAAGATTTGTGAAAATGAATGATGCATAAATTTCTTTTCTCTCTCAATTATAACTACATTCAATCTTGTACACAGAGTGTAACATTTACTGAAATGGACTCAAATGTATATAATCAGGATACTACATGTTCATTCTAGCAACTAAAATGCCTATCATGCACCTCTGAATATGCCAAAACATTAAACAATGTTTTGCAGCCAAGTGATTTTTTGAAAATCATATCACTTTGTGGGTGTAGTGCAACAAGCATCAGAAAAAGGCCCATACTACCCAGAGTGGAGGCCATGTGAACCGCATATTCTCCCAAAGCCAATGGGTTAAAGGTTAACAAACATTTATAGTTAAATGTTTCTGAATTGTCTATTAGTTGTTACATGATTTTTTTCTTTCATTCTTTTTTACATATAATTGTGATTGCCCAATTATCCCTAATTTTCCCCCACATATATCTGGAACAAGTTGCCGCTACTAGGTATAGGACACACAAAGTACTTTGTTATCATTTACTAGTTAATTTTTTCGAGGTAAACATTTTGGAAAATTAAAAATGGATATATACAGTTAATGGAATCCTGCAAACCCTTCACCTTTGTTCTTATGAAGATTGTGCCTTATATTCTTATAATTAAATGATGACAGATTTTACCCAGGCCTTTAAGTGTAAAATGAGAAGTAAAGGAATCATAAGCTTTCCACACACCATCTGGCATGTGGACTCTCTGCTTCAAGACAAGAATAGATTTCACACAGCATCTCTAGTTAAGATCAGGACATTTTAGAATATATAATAAGTATGGATATGCAGTGTTTTTTTTGTTAGAGCAATTAACCCAATGACGCCGGGTGTACTAAAGGAAAATAAAACTCTACGCTCTGGCAAACAAAGGCAGCGCGCCGACTTTGAGCGCCGGAGTACGGGGCGTCAGCCCGAATCACTGGCTCGCCGCGCTTTGGCGTGCCGCCGGCTGGTTTGGCCGCACGCCACCTTTCGAGCGATTTGTTTACACGCGTATCGCCGTCACCCGGCGGCAAGGGGTTAAATATGAAGGCAAACTATAACTATTTTTTCTTTAATTCAAAGAACCAGAACCAAACTGATATTGAAAACTTTTTATCCTCAGATGGTGTTGTACCTATGGCAGGCAGCGCTGTTATTGGTGGGGTGCTCTTGGCCATGATTGAGGGAGTTGGCATCATCCTCACCCGCTTCACCTCGGAACAGTTCAAACCTGTTGCACCGGGAGAAATGGCAGATCCTTCAGTTCTCGGACCACCGCAGCCCCTTTCGTTGAATCAGGACCCTAATTATCAGTAAATTTGTGCTTTGGGGAAAGAACCACCATCCATACTAAAGAAAGGATACTTTACTTAAATTGGGAACTTTGTGACTTTAGTTTAGAAGGTTCATCTTGAATGATCATTTACTTTCAGTTTACAACATTGCTTTGGAAATGTGGTTGTACTCTTTCAACGCCATGAAATTATAACATCTTTTCTGTGTAAAGAAGGATTTCTGCATAAGTTCTCTTTAGTTCCATTGCAAATTCAGAAACTTATAATCAATAAGAAATGAGAGGAACTGTATGTGTGAAAGTCACTGTTAAAGTAGGGAACTTACCTTCATTTATAGCAGTCCTCATCTTAATAACTTCATATGATTTTCTGAGGCAAGATGAAGGCAGCTATGAACTTGGAGAATAACTATATATATATATTTTTTGTTATATCCAGTCTTTTTTTTTTTTTTTTTTGATGATGATGATGTGTCAAGTATGAAACTTAAGGAACATTTTGTAAGTTAATCTTAAAAGTGAAGGATAGAATGATTCTTCAACTTGCTTTTATGAAAAGCTTTATCAGAAGATGCTTTTCCTTCAGGTAGCCTTAAAGCAACTGTATTATTTGCTTCTACCTGAGAGTAAAGCTATATGAATATATTATGTACATATTGTATATTGTCATAAGATATGCAGACATGTCAGATATACTATATCTGAGTCTTAAATACCTCTCAGATTGTAATAGTATGACAATGTTAATGCCTTATTTGGGTGTTACAACTTTAAGTATGTACTTTTGACTGTAACTGTTGATTTTCTACAAAATAATAAAATATCTTTATTTAAAATACCTAGTTTCAAAGCCTGATCCAAATACCCATACTTGCAAGCTCTTTCTTCAGTAAATATGTAGAACTGATTGAGGATAATTGTTTTATACCCGAGACTTGCTGTTCATAGTTAACCCACAAAGTATAAGCCATTATGTGAGCAGATGCAGATGTGGTATATTAGTGCACTAAAAATCACTTGTATTTACTCAAATTCATTCTACGCAAAAATATAAATTGCATTTCTGGAATCTACACTAAGAAACTTTAGAGTGTTACTGTTTTTTTGTGTCCCAGAGGAACTCTGGTATAGTCTGTGCTATGTGCTCTACTTCTTCACCCAAATTTGCCTAAATATACGATACACATCCATTAGGAGATGGAGAAATACCCTAGCATGTCTTTGGTACCAGCAGTGAATAGGTGAATTCTCATGATCCTATTTGGAATCATTCAACTATGACACAAAAGAAGGGGCTCCTTTTTGTTCCAGCCACACATGCTTTGTAATGTGTTCTGATAACTACAGATATAAGAAATGCATATTACTTGGCAGTTGCTCAACGAAAGTTTAATGTGGTCTTTTCTAAATATCTCCTTATTACATTAATTATATTACAATGTTTGAGGGAGTCTATCAGTAAGACTAAGAAGGAAATACATTGTTGGTCAGATGTAGTCAGGAACAGGAAAATACAGTTATTTTAGGTAAATCTACTATTTTCTTGATGTTCTTATTGCAAATGCTCAACGTCTTTGCTGAAGGGGTGATGTACTTTAATTATACATTTCCCATCACACTGAAAAAGCAATTTTGTGAGGTCTTAGTAGTAGTGAAGCTTGACAATTTTTTAAGAGGAAAATGACTGAAAAAAATCCATCATTAGGCAATCTCTGAGGAAAACAACTCAAAATGCACTAGCCAGGAATTTTAAGATTTGTTATAAAATTACAAATAGTTAAACAGATTACTATGGCTCTTTGGGGAATTTTATACCTATTTTTGTACTTGATGCAGGCCTCACAATCATGACATAAATGATTGGTCATTTGATGGGGTATATTAATGGAAGGTAAAAAGTTTTAACATGCCATATTATGTATAAAAGAGTAAATAAATAATAAATAAATAAAAAATAACATACTACAAGAGTATTCTTTCCATTTAACTTTGTACAGCATTGCGATCTGACAGGAATATTTATCAAATATGCATGCAATATTTTGTGAAAAAAATATTTCCAGGTAAAAGAAAGAAAAGGCCAGATAACTGCATGATATCTGTATTTGGTGGGTTACACAAAGTTTTGCTCTTGGAGCAGGTGATGGAGGGGTCGTGTCGAGCTTTGCTGGACACAGGACGACTTCTTACAGGTTAACAACAACAACAGCGGGGCAGAGAACATGTCTCAGTGTTAGTACCACACTTGGGCCATCAAGACTCTGTCACAGCTGCTAGCATGGCTCATGTGCATGGCTCAGGTTAGTGGGTATTACCACGCAAACTACCTTTCAATGAAGGACACAGCAGCCATACACCAACGCTACTCTTTTTGCTATCATGCACAAGTACTACCAACCAACATGTATAAACCAGATTTTTTCTTTAGCTGCCTTGGTATATGGTGCAAGTGTCTGTCTTGCAGTAACTGTAGTTTGGCTGCCTGCATAAAAAAGATGCAGGTCCTATTGCTGCTACTGTAGTCTGGCTGTTCACCTTCCTTAGTACATGGGTGCTTGTCTTACACTCACTGTGATCAAACCTGTTGTTTATCTCAACATCGGTACAAGCAGCAGACCACCTCTTTTTCTAGTGTGAGTCGACTGGATTGGTGAAGTCACATATCATGCCTCTTGCAAAAATGCTGCTCATCACAGTGACTGCAACATGACTTGCCGCCTCTTCAAGCACGATGTTCCTAGAAAGGGGTCGTTACCCTGATACGACTGGACAGTATAAGGTGTGTAAGGAAGGACTCTAGACTACTTTGAGAATAGCTACCAGGTATTAATGACAAGCATGTGGGAGTTATTACACCAGGATTACTGAAGGTGTCAAATTGGTACACCGAATTTACTTGAATCTGGAACTGCATGTTCCAGTTTGTAAGCGGAGGTAACATCGAAAAAAACATCGGCACTGACAGTATTATTACATGGAGAACTCACTCCTGGATACTTTGCATGGTAATGTGACGATGTAACTGGCATAGAAGCACTCAAACCTAATTGTGTATTATACTAAAAATGCCAAAAATGTACCATTACCAAAGACTCTTGTGTTCTATTTGCCATGACACTGTGGGAGTTGAATCTTTAGCATATAAGCAAACAAACTTGTAGCATGCTATTACCTACAGAACCAAGATAATAACTTGAGCTGTAGCAAAAGAAGCAGAGTCTTCCTGCATATTTTATAACTTTAGTCCTTGTATGGATCACTAAAATCCCCATCTCCAGTCATCTCTAAAGATATGACCCTTCTTACAACACAATGTATGTTCATTCACCTAACTGAACAAGCTGCCAGACAGCTTTCCTTGAATGCCATTTAGGAACAAAGTTGCAACCTATGTGAAGATATCAGCCAAGTAAAGTCTTGGTCCTAGCTTCCTAGGGGTTCTCAGCCTGTTTATTATACAGGAAATACACGACTCAAAGAACTGCTATCACAAGTATAAAAATGGCTGACATTTGTCACCTTCTTAAAAACCACATTGTTTCTTCTAATACCTAAACAGTAACTGAAAGTATCTTTGTCCTGTTTCAAAGACATGGCAGAGTTATGGGCATGGCTAACACATGGGCAAATAGGACGGGGTCGGGGCAAGACATGCTACCCCAAAACAAGGTTACTGGTGCAGCTTGTACTTCACAATAGTAACCATAACAGCCTTTCAGCTTACGCAAAACATGCATCCTAATAACTCATACTGATGACATAGTATCAAATAGGCTCATACTTTTCTGGTTTCAATCTAAAACACTAACACCAATCATGAGCAAGTTTAAAGCACTTGTGGTGCTGATGTGGAGAACGGTCATGCAGAACATGGACCGAGTATAAAACACATTTAGTACATCAAAGAACTAGAGCCATAACACTAATTCAGCAAGAAGAATCATTTTCTTGTTTTTCTTTACAAAACAAAAAGAAAATCAAAAGGTGCTTTATTAGAGTTATGTGCCCAGGATTGAAAGTGTGGATCCACATTGACTGAAAGTATACTTTACGGAGACTGATCCTGCACTATCTCAGTGGGTGAACACTTCTGAGCCCCGACCCCTTGAATTTACCATTATTTGTCATTTAGGCAATGGTTGGTGCTGAGAAGTGTAGAGAAATCCAGTATCACAATGGTTACACGTTGTTGGAAAGTCTAAATCTGGATGTCTTTTCTTGATTTAGCATTTGAAGTTACCGCATATTACTTGGGCAATTTATCCTTCAGGGCAATGAAAGACTTCACTCTAAGAAGGGAAATGTACAACTCGATTCTTTGTGGCAACTGGAATGTAATTCAAGAAACGGCATCTAAATTGCTCCCTTAGACATTTAGGCATATTTAAAAATATACCATAACAATGGAGGATATAGATCTACTGTATAGATTTATTATCATGAGGAAGAGGCAGATGTATGGTCAGTGCTTGCATGACAACTCTGTTCACAGATCCAAAGCAATACCTATATTGGATTGTCAAGTGTCTCCGGGAACACCTTGCATTCTTTGTCATCCAAAACATATTCCTTTCCTTCCTAATTAAATGTGAGCAACTAATTTTGAGTTCCAATAATAAGGGCTAATGTGTTTCTTCTTCTTGACAAATTTAGACTTCCATTCACTGCAATAGGTGGCAAATTTGTTTTCTAAAGATAAATATATAAACAGTAAAAACTCTCTACCTCACATCAAACTGGATTGTCACAGATCTGTGACCTAAAGTTTCATGAGAAGAAAGATGAATCACTGGGGAACCTGAGCAAATTGCTTTTCCCTACAAATGTCAGGCCAGAATTCCTAAGAACCTCAAGAGTAGGGTAGGGATTTGAGCACACTATAAAGCTAACAGGCTGTGTCAACCAGCAGTAAAAGTGAATTTGTTTAACTCTTTTTCAACTTCAATTATAATGCAATGAACAGGTACTTGCTGATGATTGATCTAAGCATTTTAATCATTTTTATTTTTCATTTACTTTCTGAGCAATGTTTAGAGCTTGAAAAGGCAATACAGAAATAAAAACGTAAATGATAATAACCAAAATTCATATGCTGAAATTAAAATAAAAAGCTCAGGTGGCTTTCCTTTTGAAAATCAATTGCTGTTCAATACCGAGAACTCTACATAAGCTTAATGATTCAACCTATTTTTACATATCTACCATGACTAGCGACCAATTTAA